GTGCAAAATTCAATATTACTGGCTCTTCTGTCAAGATGGCGGACGAAAGCATTATTGTGGTCAATGAACTATCTGAAGATTTAGAGGTAGAAAACGAGCTTTTTGAAGAAGATGATGGCCTGATAGTGTTTAGCATCTCAGCTGTTTCATGAGATGCCATCTTAACAGAATTAAGGGTTATTTTGAGGTAACATTGTTCCCACAAACGCTCTGAGTGAATTTTGCAGTCACTTTCAAATGACAAGAGGCACATCTGAGTTCTTGTGCAGAGAAATTATTAACATAGGAAGAATTCCAACGGGGCAGCCTATTCCACCAGTTAAGCAAGTGCTTGCTCTTTTATGGTCAAAGGCAAATCAAGAACCTGCCAGATTCGTAGCTGACAGATTTGATATCACAATGAGCAGTGTAGACAGAGTGCTGCAAAGGGGAACTCAAGCACTGGCTGATCTTAGTTCCGAGTACATAAAGTGGCCAAATGGTTAGTGCTTCTTTTTTCATTATGTTTACTTCAGGTGTTATTTCATCGACTTTAGTGGTCTTGATGTATTTGTTTTTACTGTTGTTTACATTGTAAATAAAATGATAGACCTCTGTATGTTTTCTTGATTTTTCAGAGCAAAGGATGTGAGCTGTCAAGGCTTCATTTGAAGAATTGGGATTCCCTGGTGTGGTTGGCCTTATAGATGGAACGCATATAAGCATTAGAGCCCCTATAGAAGAGCCAGATGCGTACATAAGTTGGAAAAAATTCCATTCAGTAAATGTGCAAGTTGTTTGTGTTGAAAACATGGTTTTCACTAATATTCTAGCTGGATGGCGAGGCTCTGTGCATGACTCTAGGGTCTTACACAACTCTGCTACATATAATACAGCTGCAAACAAGTTGGAGGTAATACACATCTGCTGGGTGATGGAGGATATCCTCTACAGACTTGGCTCATGACACCATACAGAGACAATGGTCATCTGACCACAGATGAACTCTGTGCAATTATGGTCTGTCATCTGATACACAGACTGTGGAGAGAGCAATCAGGCTTCTCAAGGGAAGGTGGAGAAAGCTACAGCACATTGACCATCTTAATCAAAAGCTGGCAGTGCTCATCATCATTGCTGCATGTGTTCTCCACAGTGTGTGCCTTCTCCATGATGACTTTGATGAAGGTTACATGCTTGACAAGAGCATGAAACTGATGACAATGTCAATGACAATGGTGCTGCTAGGCAAAATAACAGATAAGCCCAGCAGAAAAGGAACCCTTTGAAGGCTATAGTTTATGCAAACCATATTTAAAGGACTACTCATTTAATATAAACTAAAGAAAGGAGAGTGGCAGGTGGAAATTTCTCCACTTTCTTCTTATTATGGGCCTAATAATATACATGAAAAAATTGCTCGATACTGATTGGCTGAGAGCAGTGCAGTTCAAGTGTAACCAGGGCTTAAAATAATTTTCAGACCGTGGCTGGTCATGTTGACTGGCCAAAGTAATTTTAGCTTGGTCACGTCTTGGACCATTTTCACATATATTGTTCTGTTGTCACTTTTTGCTGTCTTATTCACGTATTCTTAATATGAACAAAGGTTCTCTTCATGCAAGAAGTTTCAGGCGTATACACCTCTCTGTCTTGAAATAGCGATAAACTGAAAATGGATTTTTGGGCTCGAAAAGTTTCCGGGTTTTTCGAGAAATACGCCCCTGGAAATGGAAGAATTGTTCAAATGGTAAGTGAATTTTCACTATTCTGTTCCGAACAGAAAAAGAGGAGTACCTCTAGAGGTAGTCCACAATTTCTGCATGGATTTTCTTGAAAATTACTGTACCATTTGACTTCAAACTGAAATTTCCAGATTTTTTGGCTAAATGGTAAGCACCTTACATTTCTCTGAACTATGGGTCGTAGTGTTCTTCTTGCCATGTTTATGCAGATCTTGCAGTATATATTAATAGTATCTTCGTCATAATTACTTGAGTCACAGCCACAAAAAAATGATAACTGTTGCCTAGCATGTCCATGTGTACTTATGGTAATCTTTTGTTGCTCATCCTTTTTTTCCAGTTAAGATGATTGTGCTTGTACTCTTCCACTGGTTTTTTCCTTGTGGTGAGTTGACTCTTCCATCATTTTTGCTTTTCATATTCGCTCATGCACACAAGTACAGGGCAATCTTATAAGAATTGCTGTAAATTTTGTTGTTGTTTTACAGTTTTGTCAGAAAACATTGGGGATGGTATAGTCCGCTTGGTGGAAGGCAACTTTACTTTTGAAGGTCGTGTGGAAATCTATCATAACAAAGAATGGGGAACAATATGTGATGATGGCTGGGGTATGGAGGAAGCCAGTGTAGTATGTCATCAGTTGGGATACATGAAAGGTGCTCAGTATTGGTACGGCAATGCCAAATTTAAAGAAGGACAGGGCAAGATCTGGTTGGATGATGTGGTTTGTTATGGGAATGAATCTGCTTTGACTCACTGTCATAACATTGGTTGGAATGGACACAACTGTCGTCATTATGAAGATGTAGGAGTGGTTTGTCTACCTAAGGGTGAGTGTACATCCTGTACATTACGAACGAATGCGTTAAGTAATGGTCCGTGTAAGAACTAGGAAGGCCAAATGCAAAATCGATTAAAAAGTGTGAAGTCTTAATTATTAATTTCAATTAAATCAACGAATCTGATTGTACCATATCAAAAAAGTTGTTGAATATTAAATAAAGAAAGAAAAAAGTGGAAGAAATACCCTTTTATGGCATAGTTTACCGCATACCCCTTATTTTTATCACTTGGCCAAACTTGAGCATTGTCCTGTGTATCAATCAAAAGTAAGAGAGGAAAATGTGTTGACCTCTGGAAACTAACGGGATGTGCCATATTGGACTCAAGAAGGAAAGCGTCTTCTACTTGATAATTGCTCGCAAAAATCTGGTTTGTTTTTAGTGCAGAGTGCACTATTGGGATGGTTATGGGAGCTGCCTGCCGCTAAGGCACTATGGCACTATGGCACTATGGCCTTATGGCGCTATGGCGATAAGGTGTAAACTTTAATATTTGTTTAATTAATTAATTTCAATTAATTAATTAGTCTAGAAGCAAGGAAGTGGTGGGAGTGGGGTGGGAAAGGTACATGTGTACTCTACGCAAAACACATTTCATCACCGTCAGTTAGGTATGAACATCGCAAAGCTATATATTTGTTTCAGGTAACCCCTTGTTCTCCTTGTGGTACCATTCTCTTCAGAACAAAACTAATTTGCTCTAAACGCATGCGTAGATTAGTTAGCATTCGTG